ATTAGTTAGAAAGAAAGATGGATTTAAAAGAAAGAAAGAAAGAAAGGATTAGTGAGAAAGAAAGAAAGGATTAGTGAGAGAGAAAGAAAGAAAGGATTAGTTAGTTAGAAAGAAAGAAAGAAATATGGATTAGAAAGAAAGAATTAGTTAGAAAGAAAGATGGATTTGAAAGAAAGAAAGAAAGAATTAATGAGAAAGAAAGGATTAGTTAGTTAGAAAGAAAGATGGATTTGATAGATAGATAGATAGATAGATAGATAGATAGATAGATAGATAGATAGATAGATTATTCAAAATAAAGAAAAAGAAAGAAAGAAAGATAAAAAGAAAAAAGATTAGTTAGAAAGAAATATGGATTTGAAAGAAAGGATTAGTAAGAAAGAAATATGAATTTGAAAGAAAGAAAGAAAGAAAGAAAGAAAGATTAGGTAGAAAGAAAGAAAGAAAGAAAGAAAGAAAGAAAGAAAGAAAGAAAAAGAAAGAAAGAAAGAAAGAAAAATAGATGATAGATAGATGAAAGAAAGAAAGAAAGCAATGATTAGTAAGAAAGAAATATGAATTTGAAAGAAAGAAAGAAATAATTAGTTAGAAAGAAAGATGGATTTGAAAGGATGAAAAAAGAAAGAAAGGATTAGTTAGAAATAAAGAAAGGATTAGTTAGAAAGAAAGAAGGAAAGATATATTGGTTAGAAAGAAAAACAGATAGCATAGTTAGAAAGAAAGAAAGATTATTTAGAAAGAAAGAAAGATAGATAGATCAGTTAGGAAGATAGATAGTATAGCTAGAAAGAAAAGATTATTTAGAAAGAAATATAGTATAGTTAGAAAGAAAGATAGATTATCTAGAAAGAAAGAAAGATAGATTAGATAGAAATATAGATGGATTAGTTAGATAGATAGATAGATAGATACATAGATAGATACACAGATAGATACACAGATAGATACATACATAGTCTATACATAGATAGATAGATCATTTGGACACAGAAAGTCAAATAGTTAAGACAGGCAGATGGATAGAAGAGGATAAAAGGAAGAGTAGAAAGGAGAATAGATTAGGAAAGGAGGGTAGAATAGGAGGACAGGAGGAGTAGAGGATTGGAGGAGGAGAAGAGGAGGGAAGAGAGAGGGAGAACAGGAGAAGTAGAGGCATAAATGCAACAAAAACTTGTAGTATCCTTCAGAAAAGAGCTGAGTGACTGCCCACCAATCAGAACACAGGACCAATTATGTGTGTCTCCCTTTGATCTTTGCTAATCAGCATCACCTGTGCAATCAGCTTTCCTATTTAGACAGAGGCCAAAATTGCTGATACTTGGCCTCGAACAAACCTCAATAGAGACAAAACTATAGGTTGTATTGGCGAAATGACCTGACCGTGAGCGAGACAAGGCCTTTGTGAACGATGTGATGTATTTTTTTTGTGGATAGAGTTAAAAAAAGGGACCACTTTGGCAAGTTAAAAAACTGGTTTGTATTGCTCTGATCACAAAAGTTTGACCTGAATTTATAATTGCTGCCAATGGAGGAATGTCTGTCACTCTTGTCCTTTGGAAGGACACAGTGAAAAAACTATAAGTCCCAGGGATTTACTAAACACATGAGAGGAACCACAACAAAAATACCTACGTTTCAAGTATAATTTTATGCCCAAAGAGTGAAAATTGTGGCCAGGCCAGCGATTTAAAAATTATTTTTTAGCATTAGGTTTCAAGCTGGCTCACTCTAGCACGTGCTCTAGCTCTGAACAGTCTCTCTCATTCACTCCCATTATAATTTCAGAAACGGGTTGAAAAACATCATGAGACTAAAGTAGAGATTGTGAAAAAAGTATAATAGATATCAAAAAGTTGAATACAACTTTAATAGCTTACAAATTTCTCAACATTTTAAAGTTTAAATGACAGAAATAGCTGAAAGTATGCAGAAGTTGTAGGCTTTGAAAGCAGAAGGAGCATAAAACAGAATTTGAAGAATTCTCCATTGACTTCCATGTTAAAAAATATGCACAAAAAGTTTAATAATTTAAAAATTATAAAGGTTATAAAAAAGAAAAGTAATAGCACACATGTCCTTGAAAAGCTGCACATTTTGATACTTGAATGGTTTTTGTAGCACAAAGTAGAGAGGAGAAGAAAGCGACCGAAAAACGTACGGAAGAATACGGAATAATAACTAGAAAAATTGCATTTCCTGCGGAATATGCGTGTGAATGCTTCAAAAGCTTAACTTAAATGCTTAAACAAATGCAAAATATTGCAGTTCAAACAACAGCAAAACAGAGCAAAAAAGAAAAAAAAGCTTCATTCAAATGCATTCAATAAGCTGAAATGCAAAACAAGATCCAAAAAATTGTACAAAACTAGAAGTTTACTTAGAGAGGTAAAGAGAGGTAGAGATGTAGACACAGAGGTAAAGAAATATAGGGGTAGAGAAAGAGACAGAGGTAGAGAAGTAAAGGAGTACAAAAAAGAAAGGTAGAGAAAGACAGGGGGTAGGTAGGTAGATAGGGGGTAGGTAGGTAGGTAGGTAGGTAGGTAGATAGATAGATAGATAGATAGATAGATAGATAGATAGATAGATAGATAGATAGATAGATAGATAGATAGATAGATAGATAGATAGATACATACATAGATACATAGATGAAAGATTATTAGAAAGGAAGAAAGAAAGGATTAGTTAGAAAGAAAGAAAGAAAGAAAGAAAAGAATTAGTTAGAAAGAAAGATGGATTTGAAAGAAAGAAAGAAAGGATTAGTGAGAAAGAAAGAAAGGATTAGTGAGAAAGAAAGAAAGGATTAGTGAGAGAGAAAGAAAGAAAGGATTAGTTAGTTAGAAAGAAAGAAAGATGGATTAGAAAGAAAGAAAGAATTAGTTAGAAAGAAAGATGGATTTGAAAGTAAGAAAGAAAGAAAGAATTAGTGAGAAAGAAAGGATTAGTTAGTTAGAAAGAAAGATGGATTTGATAGATAGATAGATGGATGGATTATTAGAAAGAAAGAAAGAAAGAAAGATGGATTAGGTAGAAAGAAAGAAAGAAAGAAAGAAAGATGAATTAGGTAGTAAGAAAGAAAGAAAGAAAGAAAGAAAGAAGGATTAGGTAGAAAGGAAGAAAGAAAGATGGATTAGGTAGAAAGATAGATAGATAGATAGATAGATAGATAGATAGATAGATAGATAGATAGATAGATAGATAGATAGATAGATAGATAGATTATTCAAATCTATCTATAGATAGATTATTCAAAATAAAGAAAAAGAAAGAAAGAAAGAATTAGTTAGAAAGAAAGATGGATTTGAAAGGATGAAAAAAGAAAGAAAGGATTAGTTAGAAATAAAGAAAGGATTAGTTAGAAAGAAAGAAGGAAAGATATATTGGTTAGAAAGAAAGACAGATAGTATAGTTAGAAAGAAAGAAAGATTATTTAGAAAGAAAGAAAGATAGATCAGTTAGAAAGATAGATAGTATAGCTAGAAAGAAAAGATTATTTAGAAAGAAAGATAGTATAGTTAGAAAGAAAGATAGATTATCTAGAAAGAAATAAAGATAGATTAGTTAGAAATATAGATGGATTAGATAGATAGATAGATAGATAGATAGATAGATAGATAGATAGATAGATAGATACATAGATAGATACACAGATAGATACATACATAGTCTATACATAGATAGATAGATCATTTGGACACAGAAAGTCAAATAGTTAAGACAGGCAGATGGATAGAAGAGGATAAAAGGAAGAGTAGAAAGGAGAAGAGATTAGGAAAGGAGGGTAGAATAGGAGGACAGGAGGAGTAGAGGATTGGAGGAGGAGAAGAGGAGGGAAGAGAGAGGGAGAACAGGAGAAGAAGAAGCATAAATGCAACAAAAACTTGTAGTATCCTTCAGAAAAGAGCTGAGTGACTTTCCACCAATCAGAACACAGGACCAATTATGTGTGTCTCCCTTTGATCTTTGCTAATCAGCATCACCTGTGCAATCAGCTTTCCTATTTAGACAGAGGCCAAAATTGCTGATACTTGGCCTCGAACAAACCTCAATAGAGACAAAACTATAGGTTGTATTGGCGAAATGACCTGACCGTGAGCGAGACAAGGCCTTTGTGAACGATGTGATGTATTTTTTTTGTGGATAGAGTTAAAAAAAGGGACCACTTTGGCAAGTTAAAAAACTGGTTTGTATTGCTCTGATCACAAAAGTTTGACCTGAATTTATAATTGCTGCCAATGGAGGAATGTCTGTCACTCTTGTCGTTTGGAAGGACACAGAGAAAAAACTATAAGTCCCAGGGATTTACTAAACACATGAGAGGAACCACAACAAAAATACCTACGTTTCAAGTATAATTTTATGCCCAAAGAGTGAAAATTGTGGCCAGGCCAGCGATTTAAAAATTATTTTTTAGCATTAGGTTTCAAGCTGGCTCACTCTAGCACGTGCTCTAGCTCTGAACAGTCTCTCTCATTCACTCCCATTATAATTTCAGAAACGGGTTGAAAAACATCATGAGACTAAAGTAGAGATTGTGAAAAAAGTATAATAGATATCAAAAAGTTGAATACAACTTTAATAGTTTACAAATTTCTCAACATTTTAAAGTTTAAATGACAGAAATAGCTGAAAGTATGCAGAAGTTGTAGGCTTTGAAAGCAGAAGGAGCATAAAACAGAATTTGAAGAATTCTCCATTGACTTCCATGTTAAAAAATATGCACAAAAAGTTTAATAATTTAAAAATTATAAAGGTTATAAAAAAGAAAAGTAATAGCACACATGTCCTTGAAAAGCTGCACATTTTGATACTTGAATGGTTTTTGTAGCACAAAGTAGAGAGGAGAAGAAAGCGACCGAAAAACGTACGGAAGAATACGGAATAATAATAAGAAAGATTTGGATTTCAAGAGTGTGAATGCTTGAAGCATTCACACTAATAAGAAAGATTTGGATTTCAAGAGTGTGAATGCTTGAAGCATTCACACTAAATAGGATTTCAGTAAGTTGGCTTTCTCAAGCCAACTTAATGAATATACCTGCACAATATACAGGATCTGGGATTGAAAGAGTTGGTCTGATAAATTTGTAGACATAATAATTTCCAGGACAAGCTTTGACTTGGATTGGGTCGGATCTGTAGCGACTGCACTGTTCATAATGGGAGCCGTAAACTTCACGAGTAACAACTCCATCTTCTAGCCGAGGATGAGAGCCATCAAGCCACAGAGAACTTGAACCTCCACATGCCATATAATTAAAACACCACTCAGGCATCTGAGCACTTGATCCATCAATGAAGAGCCGATACCAGCCGTCCCATTCTACACGAGTGTCATCATGATCGGATATGTATCCATAAATAGACCAGTAATTGAGTGTGCTTCTCCAGTAGTTGTCGAGTGTGTTGTAGTTATTACACGGGTCATAATCTGTTAGAGTGAGAGATGATGAGACCAAAACAAACAAGTTACATCTCAATGAGGAACTTCACAAGCGCAAATCTGAACCAGTCAAACACTGTAATAATGAGATTCATAAACCATTCATACACAATGCAACTGTGTAATAGTGAAAATGTTTATTGAAAAAAATCAATTTAAACTGTAATGCAAATCTTTAATTGAAAAGAAAAATATAATTTTTAAAAACGCTCAAATATTCATATATATTATTTACAACTGACTCAAGTTGATGGTGGATCCAGTGAATATATCTGGACTCACAGTGGAAACCGCCTGTGAAATAGTGCTGACATCTAAAAAGAAGGAAATTCATGTCATGAGAGAAATAATTTTAAAAGGTTTAAAATACTTAAATAAATGAGAAAATCACAGTACCTGTGCAGTATCCTGTACACAACCAAGCTTGATTCACAAGTTCATAGACATAGTAATTGCCTGGACACGCTTTCACTCTGATGGGTTTAAACTTGTTATCACAGCAGCTTCCCCAATAAGCCCCTCCACAGATCTCCCTGATCACCACTCCATCCTCTATCTGAGGGTGAGGATCACTGAGCCACAGATTATAGTATGTGTTACAGCTGTATGAACTAACGCAGGTCTCTGACATCCGGATGTCCATTCCATAGTAGAAAAGCCGGTACCAGCCATTCCAGGAGAAACCTTCATCACAAATTTCACCTCCACTTTCATTGTTGGCTCTCCAGGGACGATCCAGAGACTCATAGTTGTAGCAGGGATCACTGCTGATGCTTTGGAAAGCAACTGTCATGGAGTTTGCAAAAGTACTGTTAAAATGTATTACGTCCTAAAGAGCATAAGAGTTTTATACCATAAGACCAGTTATGATGGTTAATTACATTACTTTGACTTCAAGCAATTATATTGTGGTGTACTGTCTGTCAGGCTAAAGTGAGGCAAGTCTGTCTGACAGAAACCTGTAGAACGGGACAGAACAACACCTGAGGAGGGGCTACATATGACAAGAGGACTGTGGAGTAATATCACAATGTTTTCATATATATATTTTAGTTTACATATTAACTATTGAACAACTCACCTAAAGTGTGATTTGAGGAATTGTGTAACAAAGAGATCTAGATGCTATTGATTAGTAACATAACCCACTATACAGAATGGCTAATGAACTGCACACCACTGATTCTAACTAGTTAAAACATACTTATTTCATAAAACAAAAGATGTGTGTTAAATTATCTAAAAGTTAAAGCGTTTACACTTTATCATGACATAAAAAAATTCTAAAGATAAGATTGAATATTGTACCTGCACAGTACATAGGCAGGGGGGCTGATATGACGGGTTTGACAAATTCATAGACGTAATAATCTCCTGGACAGGCTTTGACTCGGATGGATGAGGAACTGTAGGCGCCACAATAACTGGAATACCACCATGAATTAGTCCCCAAGACTCCACGGGTCACCACTCCATCCTCAAGTGTTGGATGAGAACCGTTGAGATGCAGTGCAGTTTCTCCACCACATCCCACAAAACTCACACACCACTCAGACATCTGGGCACTTTCTCCATTCAGATACAGCCGATACCAGCCGCTCCAGTCAACAAGAGTGTCATCATATCCATAGTACTGAAATGGGCTTGGCCGTATGTTTCTCCAGGATTCATCAAGAGTGTTATAATCATAACATGGATCAGTTGTAGATTCTGAGAGAAAAAGAAAAAAAGACTCATTCACTACAGTGACAAACAGATATTGAGATGGTGAAATGAGGATGAATTAAAGGAGGCATATTATGGTTCTAAAAAATAACATTATTTTGTGTATTTGGTTTAATGCAATGTATTTACATAGTTTTAGGTGTAAAAAAAGTAATTATCTTACACATATTGTATAATATATTCCTAAAAAGCAGTGATTTTTACAAAAGCTCATCGTTCTGAAAAGCGCGGTGTGCTCTGATTGGCCAGCGATCCAGTGCATTGTGATTGGCCCAAAAAACTTAAGCGAGTGACGGAAATGTCACGCCCCTCACCATATCTGGAACATCAGCTCCCACAACAATGATGGAAATGCAGATGACCAAACTGATCGATCAACTACAAGCGGCTGGACCAGATCGTATCAGAATGGCAAAGTTTTATTTCATTGGAGACATATTTACTGATTATAATGATGACTAATCTGTCTTTGTATGAGTCACGACAGCTTTAGCCCTTCGGTTGCCCTAGGCGAAACTGAGTTTTGAAAATGATAAGTATTTATTAAACTAAACAAAAATGCTCTTATAGTCAAAAACTTCAACAAGCAAATTATGACTTAAAGGATCAACTGTAATAAATTGTTCATTCAAATGCAAAGAACGTTGAAGGGTATTTCTGCGGACCTGAGTGCTCAGCATTTAAAAAACACATTTTAGCGCTAGATATTTAATGCAAAAATTGCACACTATGCAAGACTATGTAAGGTTGTGAGTGCAGAAACCAGTCTATGGCAAAGGCGCGCTGTCTGCGTGAGTGGTATTTACAATTACGACAGTGATGTTAAATACAAGTACTCCACAGCGACTCTAGGGGTCACTTTTTTTTGGGGGGGGGGGCGTAATTCCTGCATAGTGTGCCTTTAATTCAACATGAATCAATGATAATTAAAAGTCTGAACTAATTATGAACCAATGAAGAGCTATCCTTAACACCGAATGGAGTCATTATGGATTCACCCATGAATAATGGCATGAAAAACTGCATGTTTGATAATTATTTACAGTTCCCAAAAGAACGACCAAACTGGGAACACACCCAGGGAACGTTTGTGTTAGTACATGTGAAGCCTATTTAGTAAAATAATGATAAAGATCAAACTTTATTTGAGGGGGGCCAATCATTATTAATTCACTGTTGACTTACTAAATCCAGCTCATGATTTGTCATGAACTTCAACTCACTATTAGCCTGGATGCCAGCCCGAACTCCGCCCACAACATTTTTTGGACGGGAAGTTCGGTCTGGACTCGATCCATTGAGGAGTAATTATTATTGGTTCAGAAATCATCAGGCCAATCAAATTGCCAGGGCGGGCTTTATACGATGATTGACAGGTGGTCTTCAGTAATGTAATCCTCACGTCATCAAAGTGCGCTTGTCAAAGATGATGACTGCAGTTGGAGAATTGAGATGCATAGATTCCGCTGTCGCGTCATTTGTAAAAAAAAAAAAAAAATCAACAGCGCATTCATTTTAATAGACAAACAGAGAACTGCAATCAAGGCATTTGTCGATCGGAAAGATATTTTTGGCTTCCTTCCTACATGATTCAGGAAAAGTGTAACTTATCATCTGGCTCTGACGGTCGTTAAGAAGATGGGACGTAATGAAAAGCCTGTGGTCGTTGTGGTGTCTCCTTTGGTGGCACTCATGGAGAAGTAAAAGAAGTAACACTTGTTATTTAACTTCTAAAATAAATAAAGTAGGCTACGTTCTGTATTTGAAAACTGCGCTATGCAAAGGAGTTGACTTATGCCGAGTTCAGACTGCATGATTTTAGCCACGATTTTGGCTCGCCGACAGGTTTTGAGAAATCGCCGACAAATGCCCGAAATCACAGGCAAATCGGCGCTCGTTCACGCGAGTGACAATCACGCAGTGTGAATGAGCAAAGACGCGAACTGAGAGAATCACCGACGAGTCGCCGACGCCCGTGAGATATTTGGCATGCTAAATATCTGGACCTGTCGGCGATTCAAAATCCTGCTGTGTGAAAAGTGTTTTGACTGAAAACTACATCGGCGATCACCGGCAGCCAGTGAGAGAGCAAGATACAGAGCAGCAGGGAGTTCGGGGAGGAGTTATAGATCACATATCAACATGATATGGCATTGTTTCAGAAAAAAAAGCTTCTTCTCGGTCTATTTGGACACAATAAATGGAAGAAAAATTTGTAGAAATTTGGCAGGAGCACTCATGTCTGTTTCACCAGCTGTACCACAACCGGGTCGAAAAAAAAAGTCTCACGTGAGAACTCCGGTCTTGCACGTGTGGTGTCGCGCGTTGTTTCCTTTTCATATCTCAAGCGTGTTTGTTGTGAAATGTAGTTTGCGTGCAGCGTGCTAGACAGAGTCTGTCGGCGATTTTTCTAAAGTCATGCAGTGTGAAACCTTCTGTCACCGATCAATCGTCCAGTGTGAACACAGCAGTGACTGAATGCTGGCCAAGATAGTCATGCAGTGTGAAAAGAACAGCGACCCGACTACTTTGAAAATCATGCAGTCTGAACTCGGCGTTGCTCTGATTGGTTGTAGGTCTACCGACTATCCAATTGAGTGCAGAGGTTTTTTTTTTTTGTTGTTGTCCTGGTTCGGTTATGACCAACTCATAATCAAAGCCCAATGGAGGAGTTTCAGACTCATATTCTTTCTTGAATATGAGTATGACAAAGTCAGGCTAACTCACTATACACATGAGTATTATAGCATGAAGATAATATGATGCCATAAAGAAGATTTGTGAAACTGCAGAAAAGATTGCAGGCATAAATTACATTTTCATGCACAATATATTTGTAAAGGTGTAAATCGCCTTTCAAGCGTAAAAACAGCAGAGGCAGGAACTGCAAAACAAATTAATCGCGTAAATTCAAACTATGTGGAAAAAATAAACTGTTGCAAATGTCTAATTGACTTGTGTGCCTGTGGCAAGAAAGTTCCTGAAATAACCTGATTATACAGTTGTTTTTCTTTTACCTGCGCTTCCAGTTTTGACACGAGTATCTCACTCAAAAGCGAAGAGGAGGGCGGGTCCACATTCATCATGTAGCCAATCAAATGAGCTTCTGGCTGATACTCGATTCACTATTATCTGATTGGTCAATAAACACGCCATTCACCAGAACACAACTTCTTTTCTTTATTTAGCTCAGAAACGCTCTTGTTGCCGAAATGGTACTTTTAATGCTGCACATACATACATAATTATTCAATTAAAACCATCAAATGTGAAGTGCCATGCAGGTAATTAGGGAATGTCAGTTTACAGGTTTTCACTTTAAATTATTATAACATTTTTGTTTTTATTGGCAAGTAAAAAAAGAGTATTTACTGAAATTTGAGGTTGGATATAATACAGTTTTATATAATACATACGTATGATATAATACAACGTAGCTGTTAACCAATGGTTATGAACATGAACATTAAAGTTTTTACTGTTACAATTGTATTTTTTAACACTATGTGAATATCCATTTGTGCTACTACTTTTATCTATATATATATTTCAACATTTTTATGAAAAACAAAGTATGAATTGAAGATTGGATGAAGCAAAAGAATGATTGAACCTGTTGTTTGTCCATTGGTTATTTCACCTGTTAAATACACAATATGTGGGGAAAAAAAATCAGTCATTTTATATGACGGATTATAAAACACTCACCATTAATCATCAGCAGCGACACACACAGTGAGATCAGAAACCTCATTGTGTCGAACGGCACCTGCACACACACACACACACACACACACACACACATGAAATATGTTTCTTATATTTTGATGTATTTATTCTTTCTTTGTTGTGCACATTTGTAAAACAACCATAACATTCAAAGATAAGGAAAATTTGACAAAATATAGAAAACAGCCAAATTTTACAAAATAATTTGGATCCATCCAAAGTTGGTGACCAAATGGGATAAAACAGAAGTAACTTTACCTGAGGTCAGCTCTCAGATTGATGATGGTCTATGAGATTCTCTCTTCAGTAGTTTAACACAGTGATGCTGAACTGCAGATCTCACGATCTCATCAGTGTCTTATATACCTGTAGGTGGACCTTTACTGGAACTAGATGTCATTTCTCAACATTATCTTAAACCAGTTTTTTCCTGTGACATTGAGATATTTGTTATTTAGACTGACAGTTTCCTTGTGAACATCTGCATTCAGAAATACATTCTTTCTCTCTGTGCTCGAATAGATGAGAATATAGATGGAATGACGACGGGACAGTTTGATTTTTGTTTTTTTCTAAAAGCAAATGTACCTCAAAACAAGCAGTGAGTGACCCAAAGGTAAATGGAAAGATTTGTGTTAATTTAATGATGGTAAACAAGCAAAGCGGCATTGACAGAGAGTCAAGAAATTATGATGAGAATAATTATTATTAATATTTCAGTAAAGTTCATTAAATCTATTCTGTTGTCAGTGTGGTCTTTAAACCTTATGAACTGTGTAAGGACTGACCAAGGTGTTTCATGAGGAAGCAATTTGACAACAATGCAGTGAATATTTTTGGTGTTCGTTAACCAGCAGACAAGAAAATTATGTATTTCAACTTCATGATTAAATACAAAAGCAGGAGAAAAACTGCAAAAGGTCCACTTTTTTAATCAATAGGCTGCCAGCTACAGACTTGCATGTAATTGATTATTAGTTTACATGGTCACATTAAAAGCTTTAGAGTTCATCCCTAAGACATCTGGAGGGATGCAGACAGTGGTCGAGTGAGGCAAGGTTAAATAACAGAAATGCAAAAAAACCAATCAAATGTTTTTTACAACAAACACCTCAAAGCTAAACCCTAAAGTAAACTGTAATGCCTTTTAAAACAGCTGGGAGACGGCAGGCCTGTTTGCAGATCAGCATTAGACAAATGTGTGTCTAATATTTTGGGAATCGATATGAAAGAACAATGAGAAACAGCAACAAATCCTAATCCTGGAAACTAATTTACAAAAACAGCAGAGAATAGATAAAAAAAGAGGTCAAACAGACAAATGTTGGTTCTTTCCTAAAGTGAAAACATTGTCATTCAGAAATTATCATATTTTAACAGAAATTCATAAAACGTGCACATCCCATGCTTGATAATTTCATTTAAAGTGAAAAATTACCTCTATAGCCTTAGAAAGTTTAAGGAAGTGAACACTATATTCAGGTTTACCAGAGAACAAACAACTCGACTCTGTAGGAATGTTCCACATTCCTCTCCTGCACATTGCACAGACAGACAGACGGACGGATGGATAGATTATAAAGCATAAATTAATGCAACACCGTGTCTTTAAAATTGTATTAGATTAATTATTTGTATATTGTTAATTTTTGTTTATTGCATTAGGTATAAAGTTAAGAAGTTTTAATCCACACAGTAAATCTGGCAGTGATACAGAACATTTTATCCTCTGAACTACAGTAATACATGAGCATCTTATGAAAAGTACTGTGTATTTCCTTGTTCGTGTTGTCAAACCTGATGGTTCACTGCCATTTGTTCACATTTCAGAGTACATTTCACATTTTCACATTTCAAAACCATTCAGTAACATGTTCCAGTTACGCCCGGACTGTTTTAACCCATATAGTGACTTATTGAGTTTACACACTATGGGCCCTATTTTAACGATCTGAAACGCATCAAGCGCGAAGTGCAAGTAACTTTGTGTGCGGGTCTTGGCACTGTTGCTATTTTACCGGCGGGATAAATGACTCTTGCACCCGACTCAAGTTTAAAAGGGGTTGGTCTGAAATAGCTTCATTATTCATAGGTTGGGCATAACGTGAAATAATCATAAAGAATTCAGTAGATAATGATTATGTGATTGATTATTATTATCTATAAAGACAATAAGACACTCACAATCTTAACAATCTTTTATTTTATTTTGCATTATCACACAATGGCAAATACTGTATGGTGATTGCAGTTTCTGCACATTTTTACAAATGGGCAAAATAATCATGTTAAAACCAATCACAACTAAAACAGTAAATAATAATGTGATTAAAAAGCAAAAGGGTTGAAAATAATCATAAGATAATCTAACCATCGATGAAGGATGAAGACAATAAGACGCTCCTCGAATGTACAGCACGGACATGAACATTGTCAGCTGATGGTATCTATTGTCTCTCAGTGAAGCTCAAACCTCATGGACAAAACAGACACACTGAAGAGGACGAATATTGTTCAATTATTCCCTAAACAAATGATTGATTAACAACTAATTGAATTGAAATGGGAATGGAACTTTGACCCAAATGATCATCATAAGCTTTTTTGCGTCTAAGTCAAGTCACATTTATTTAGCGCTTATAGCCTACAGAGTGTTTCAAAGCAGTTACAGAGACAACAAAATGCAACAAAGTTTGTTTCCAGAAGAAAGAAGCGTCACAGTCCGGCTTAAGTAAGTTCAGTGATGTTTCATTTAGTTGTAAAAGTTGTTAATTCAGTTTATTTATATATAGCAACTCTGGAGAAAACCGTGATGTCATCGTCCAGCTCAGTTCAGTTCTCATATCAATGCAGGCAGATCAATAATATTGTTGAATATTAAACTAAATGTTATATTTAAAGATAAATATTTGAGCTATTAGATAAGTTTGATAAAGTAGAAAGTAATATAAAGCATGAACTGTTTCTATGTGTAACTATGTGGATGTGAAATGAGAAATAAACTAATGTAAATCTGACACAATTAAAAACCTGCTATACTGAATTTACCGGCTAAACTACAACATGACATACCAGGACAAAGAGTGTTTCACGTGTTCAGCATGTTAACCCTTAGAGACCAACTGGAATAATCAGAATAAGCAGTTCATACTTTAGATTACTTTCTACTTTATCAAATTTATCTAATAGCTCATATGTTTATCTTAACACGTTTGACAGGAATTTGCAATCTGAATCTCACAATATGGTCGTTGACTACTGACGTATTGCTGATTGTTTATGATTAAATGTATCTTCAGAGTATCTGATCTGTAATATTTTGTCAAAGCTAAACAGGTTTAAACACTTCCACACAACATTCAGCAATATGATATAAATAATAATATTATTTACTTTCAAAAAATATAAGAACAGTTTTATGTGAATGTTGCATAAATGCAGCAGTGTGTCTCAGTGGTCAACAGTTATTAATGTTAATATTAATGTTGCTCTCACATGAAAGGATCAATGGAGGACAGTGTCAGAGCAATGCTAAATCTGAACTTGCTCTCTGTCCTACAAGCTCTTTAATTTCCCTTTCTCTTCACGTGCTATCACTGAGAACTAGAACAATACAAGAACATTTAGAAGAATTAAAAACATGTGTAATCTAGACTGAACTTCACCTCATCTTGCTTTATAAAATGAAAAATTCAGCCAATGCTGCAACATTCTTTAAACAACTAAAAGTAAAATAGCAAAACTCTTCTTATGCATATCATCATCGCATCACGATGGAAAATAAGTCAAACAGTTGCAAGGATTACAGTAAAAAGATAATGTTATGATCATTAATCTTTCTCGTACTTTTACTGAATTAAAATGATTAAAAAAGCAAAAATAGACTTTGCGGCTAACCATAAAATGTATTTATTTTTTTCCTCGTTTTAATTCAGAACTTTTTCTCGCCTTAAACACAAGGAATAAAAAAATTACAGCACAATTTTTAGGAAAAGAAAGTCACATTAGTTAGTTGCCTACAATAACAATATCACAAATCTCCACAGAAAAGGAATCTTTGTTGTAGCAGCAGCACATTCCCTCAAGTAGGCTAATAGTCGACTAAAACATAATGGGTTTAGTTAAACTGTAATGCATTAATTTAGAATTTAGAAGAGAATAAAATGTACAAACCCATATACTCCTGAAGAAAACATCTATTAACATGTTAATATGAATGATTTAAAAGTCTGAACATGCAATACAGATATGGATTTAACTACTGTGACTTAAAAAATATCTTAAAATTAGCCTAAATAAAACCACTTTTCCTAAAGTACAACAGTCATTTCAATGAATGATATATGGATTCATTGTAACTACTTGCATACATCATTCTTTATCCTTTCAAGCAAAAATATTTATTTGTATAAATTAAATATAATTAATCCTTATTATACTAAAGCTATTTCTCTTTTTCTTTTGTTGCTTGATCAATATTAAGGACACAGACCACATTATGTTTATTGCCACTATCACTATAAGACGTCGGATCATTTCCAATGACATGCGGATCCAATTGCACTGATGCACATCCGATACACTCACAACTGTTTAAGACATAACCGACATAGTTTATATGAATACTGTCCAAAACGGCCGTTTAGACTTATTGTGGTGTATATTTGTCCATTCAGACACGAAAGAGAGCCCAGTTCAGTCCTCGCGCACTTTATGTGTGTGTGTGTGTGTGTGGATACCTGCGCGCTTCGGGTCGGGTGTGTGCGCGCACGGAGAACCGTACCGAATAAAGCTCTTTTTTGCATCGTCACTCCTATTCAATATTCATATCTATATGTCTGCTCTACTCATTCTCACAGACGTTCACATTTTTGAACGTTTATGAGACCGCGGTGTAAATCAGCACGTCACAGTACAAATGTGCGCAACACACGCAGGACATCAGTTTTGAATTCTGACTGCACCGCTTCCCAAATCGTCACTATCTAACATTTTCGTCTAGTTTTTATTCGTTGACGAAAATGTCAATAGATTTTCATCATAGTTTTTGTCATCAAAATTTTTTTTATTAGTTAAAAAAAAGTTTTTATTTAGTTATCGTCTCGTTTTCGTCTGTGAAAAAATGTCGTTAACGAATAATTTTCGTCAACGAAATTAACACTACTGTTGATTTAGTCGACTAAAATCATATTGAATTTCGTCGACTAAAACTAGACTAAAACTAAAACAATTCAGATGACTAAAATATGACTAAAACTAAATGGCATTTTAGTCAAAAGACTAAAACTAAAATCAAATTTTGCTGTCAAAATTAACACTGTACAGAATTAATGTACTATACAGAAATAAATGTAAATGATTAAATAATAATTCCTTTATTAGTCCACATGAAGTGCATGGTTTAGAAACCCACAACCAAGCATCAGTTCTAGACAATCTGCACGTAAATTGTTGTGTTTACTAAACTAAAAGTGTGTGAGGACACTCATCAGAGGAACAAGTATCAGCATCAGAGAAACACACACACAAGAAGCCTCAGATACCTTCACTTGTTCTGGGACCCACTTATCTGTGGACAGGGGATATAATGAAATGTAGTGAAATATAATCTATTTACATATAAACCTTTATTTACTGAATGATTGAAATAAATGAGATGTTCACCTGTGTTCCCTTCAGACAACACCAGAGGACCCATGGATATGGAAGCACTGTCATGGAAGTCCAGAGACCTGCGCTCTCTCCGCTGGTGTCCAGAGCCACAGTCCTAATAGAGAAAAGAGCAAAATCCAGCTGTGTGAATCTCTGTTAAATATCACTGAACATAAAGGTGCAGAAAGTCTCCAGTAGAGGGCAGAAAAAATATATATTTTAGCAGAAAAAACAGGCAGACTTACAAACTGACACTGAAGCATTTGACAATCTAATATAGAATTTAACAGTCATTTTTATATATTTAAAGTGATACTCATTGTCATTGTCATTATGAGAGGTTTTGTAAATTCACCGTTGAGCAGCGATTGCTTGACAGAAGGCAAAGGTGAACAGCACAGTGCAGATAAAGCCTAGTGGAGTTTGGAGTAAATACATTCATCCTGAATGAGAAACGGCTGGATGTCGAGACGCCGTTCTGCAGCAGATCCACTGTGTCGTCATCTGGATTCGGACACCTGAGAATATCAATAATTACAAACAAATCTAATTATTTTCTTTGTTTCCATTCAACAAAAATGGAATCCTGTGCTTTTGTCTTGAAATCCTGAAAGATAAAGTATCTCAGCCAATCCTAAAAATTTTTTCGCTTTACTCTGAAAGGATGAGATCCCAGCGGAGGCTGTAATCGGGATCATTCACAGGTGTAGCCCAACACGTGTCCATCACCAGGGCGAACTGGCGGCTGTCGACCCCCTCAACACGAACTTCCACATGCATCTCCTGGTCGAGCTCTGCATCCACTCGACCAGTGAAGGGCCGGGTAAACTCATCATCCTCATATGGGATCATCCGGACCAGATATCTGCCTTCACCAGCGGGAAGAGTCTTGTGCACAATACTGATGAAATGGAAATAAAAAATAATTATAAACATGTGCGTGTGAAATTCTGTTTTAAGAGAATAGCATAGCTATATAGCCATGCTTCTTATTAGCATCTAGCATTTATGCTTAAAGGTTTAGTTAGTTAACGCCAAAAATTTAATTCGGTCATCTTTTACCTCGTGCCATTCCTGATAACTTCCTGATGTAAAATAAAATAAAATTGAAATACATTTTGATATGTTTTAGCTTACCTCAAGGACATCCAAGATGTAGGCATCTTTGTTTCCAGAGTAATTTCAATTTTGATATTTTTAGGTCAAACCGTTCTTGTCTGTCAGTCATATAACGGAGGTCTAATGGAGGTCCAAATTAAACATGATTTAATGACTCGTAAATGTAAGTACACATTGATGGCCCAAAACACAAAACGAGCGGTTTGTGTGAGGAAACTAACAGTATTTATAGCGTTTTTACCTCTTGTAAACAGCCACCACACCCAGGTCCAAGTGATCTGAGGGTGCGGCGCTTGGGTTTGAACTTTGCAGCACCGGAAATGATCTCTCACGCGTTTGTCACTCATTGTTTTTTTTTTTTTTTGTGAAAACAAATTGTCTGTTGATATCGAAATCGTCTTCCATTCCGATTTCCTGTATATCTAAATATGTTTAATTTAGATCTTAACAGTGAAAGGTAAAATTTCTGAAATCTCTGTGTAAACAATGACTACGTTTACATCATAGACTAAAAAATATGGACAAAGCGTTTGTGACGTCACCCATAGACTCTCTGAGGAACGGGTTTGAGGCTGTTTATGGGGGGTATGGGCGGCGCCATACTGGAAAATCTTGGAAAACACAAAAGTTTCAGAAAGGATACAGAGGTGGTATAATGTGTTGTGTCAGATCATGGCCGATACGTCAAATTCCACTCGGCGCAGCCCGTTATCAGCTGTCAATCAAAGTTAACCGCCCTTATTTGTCATACATTTTATATCTAAATACGATCTAAACTAACGAGTTAGAAAAAAAAATCACCCCCCTCACAGTTGTCAGGCACTCGGAACATATTGAAGACCACAAGTCCATGGGACCAAACTGTAAACATATGAATTTATGCTGTGAAAACGGATATTTTAACATGACGTCTATGGATATTTGCTCCCTTTTGGGACCGCCCTCTAGTGGATTTGAGATGTATTGCTGTTTATCAGGCTTCATCTTTCAGATTAGAATGTTGCAGCTTGGTTTACATGCAGCCACCCGTACAAAACAGGGATATTAGCCCGGTCGCGAACAGCAATGTAAACACCGGCAAAAACCTGAATATGCTCATATCCCAGATTTTAAAAACCAGGATTTTATACATGGGGTAGGCTACCCCTTTTCTAACCAGAATTTTTGGTCATGTAAACGCGTATCGGCATCCCCATAGTGATATATGTTCTGCGCATGTTCTATTTGCAAGGAATCATGGTCTTTTGAGTAGAGAAACTTCTCGGCGCATACAAAAATACCGGAAGTAAACATGGCGAGACGCAGCACAGCATACTTTTGGAGAGAGGTCAGTAACGTTACCAGCATCAAAGCGCAAAATGTGCTATCTGCCCGAACTATTCATTATAGGCGTGCTGCTGTTGTTATCGTCTTTGGATACAGGAAGAAGAATCGGAAATTACGCATATTGCGTCTTAAGGTTGTCCGTGCGCGTCACCGTTTACATCGGGATACTGCAGTTCCATGCAGGAGAAACTCTCTCTGCTCACGCATGTAAACGGGTTATTCCTAATATTTCAGAAACCCGAATAGTGACCTTAACCCGACCACAACCTGAAAATTGGCTGCATGTAAACGTCGTCAATGAGTGACGTACACATGCAAGAGTTCCGCAGATCGAGGAGCCCGCGCCCTCAGATTACTTGGACGTGGTTGTGGTTACAAGAGGTAAAAACGATATAAATACTGTTCATTTTCTCACACAAACCGCGCATTTTGTGTCTTAGGCCATCAATGTGTACTTACACATTTATGAGTCATTAAATCATGTTTAATTTGGACTTCTCTGTGCATGCTCTTTGACGTGGACCCCCTAAACCTCCATTATATGACTGACTGACGAACGGTGTGACCTAAAAATATAAAAATTGAAAATACTGTGGAAACAAAGACGACACCTACATCTTGCATGCCCTTGAGGTAAGATAAAATATACCAACAATTAATTATAATTAATTATATACAACAATGAACTATCACTTTAAGGTAAGAAAATGTTCATATTTTAGTTCAATTAATCTTTTGAGCTTAAGTCAGAATTAATATCAAATTCCCACCTCTCCAGTGGATTGATTTCCACATTCATGGAAATTGTTTGGGATTGAGGATAAGTACAGCTGAAAGAAAGCTTCAGGATTTTCTCTCTGCTGATGAGACCTTCTGATCTCGCTGTCCCCAGAATAAAGTTTTCATAGATGAAGTGGGTGCCGTTAGCCTGTAGACAACAAATATAACATTTTGTAATTTAACCTATTAGAAATAACAAAAAGTGGCATCAGTCAAGTGAAATAATGGTGGTGTCAAGTTATTAGGCTTTCTTGTCTGCCCACACTTGAAAAAAGGCTTCAATCAATTTACAGGGTGCATGGAATAACTCAAAGCATCTGATTCTTCATAATAGAAGTACGCTTTTGACATCGCGTCTAAATCCGACGCACATGATGGAACCCTTTAGTATCAAAATAACACACACAGAGCTTTGTTTGGTTATGGGTAGGTTGGGTAGTGTTAGGGTTAGACCACTAGGAGGCGCCTTCTGGCCCATACATGTATCTATCTGCGTCTCATTGACTTTAAAGGGTGCCATGTGTCAAAAGCGTCACTTAGGGATGAGAATGCGTTGCAATAAACAATACAAAAAACATATACACATATATGAGTCACTACACAGTATTGATCAATTTACACTCAAGCATATTTAAAATACAATTTGAATCTTGTGACATTTAAACGCGCACATCAACCCGATTACTTTATTTATCATTCATGTAAACACTTTGATCGGATTCATCAATCGTATTGATTTCATTCCGATTGTGTCCATGTAAACGCAGCTACTGAGTCTTTAAGAAGAACTGAGAAGTCTTTAGGGAGGTCTGTTTGGGACCTTCCATTGGTTGTTACAGATTGATTATTCAGTTCCCTTACAAGCCTCCATACATACTTCTCAAAGTCTCATCAAACTCTGTTGGTCCTATCAGGCAATACAAATAGTTGATGGTGTATTTGAATAGATTATACACAGTTAAACCTACCACAAGATTTGTTCCACAGATGTGTTCATCATTATCAAAGAGGAATTCCACTCGGCCGTTCCGGACCGTTCCTTTGCAGTCGGGATCATTGAGGTGTAAGACATCAGCTGGAAAACCAGCCTCAAAGAGCTGACAGCGAGACACAGATATGGAGCCAGAGCTGCTTTCACAGGTTTTTGAGAAATCTGAGTACAAAAAAAAAAAGATTAATCTTAATGACTGGGGGAAAAAAACGATATATTTTACATTTAGTTGTGGAATGAAACCAACCAAACGAGTCAGGTTGTGGTCTGTGATTGTCCTCTTGACATAAACAGCCATAAACACCATTTTTCTTCCCACACCATTCATCCTCAGAGCAGCTGAGTTCAGAACAGCGATCTCTCACATCTAAGAGGAAAAGACAGGGGTGGTGATGCAGTGGATAAGACACATGCCTTTGGTGTGAGAGACCCAGGTTCGAATCCACTGTAAGACACCAATGTGTCCCTGAACAAGACACTTAACCCCTAGTTGCTCCAGACGCATGCGAACTCTGACATGTATTGCAATTGTAAGTCGCTTTGGATAAAAGCGTCAGCTAAATGAGTAAATGTAAATGTAAGATATGATAAAATACAGCATAAAGACACTGAGTCATGTTAATGTAGCATCTGATGTAAGCAATCAATATAAGGCAGGATGATTTTCAGATCATTTTGAAGCAAAAACTCTAAGCCACAACATCCATTAGTCAGAAGTCTTGTGGACACATACGTGTTTTATGGCTTTTTTTAAGAAACTTTAATTTTTTGTTTTTTTAATAACCACGCATAAACAATATTCTCTCAAAAATACAAACTTGTACATACATGTTGCTCACATATTATGGTAGCCCTGTTTGTGCCAAATAGAGTGTAATTACACCTTTGCCATTAATCAGGGATGTGATTTTTCCGGATTAATCCGAAATACCGGATTTTCCGACCTGAAAATGTAACCTACGTGAATCATGCAGATCTGGAAAAAAAAAAAAAAAAAAAAAAAAAGAGGGGGACGAAGGTCGGCAGCCGGAGTGAAAAGGAGAGAATATGAGGACATAACCGGCTGACATGCGTACAGAAAGTTCCTTAGAAGGCCTGCAAAATTTGCCCGAAACGCCTAAAAAAGACCTATCCAAATTAAATTGCATGCTGTTCTTGAACCATTTGGAGTATATGCATGCTTTTGCTCTCTTTTGAAAGGTGACACTCAGAGGTTTGTTCATAAACAGTCAAAATCACTGTAAGTCTTACTGGTCTTGAGTAATATAACTTTGAACACAATGAAAAATGACAAAAAAATTCTGCCTACATTTTTTTTGTGTAAACCGATGCCTGCAGATAACTACAGCTGGGAGCTATTAGCTGGAAAACACAACTGGATCACAGCACGAAGCCTTACCAAACAGAGTTTAAAATTTGATGATAATATCTAAGAAAATGAGTGTTTATTCTAAGTGTATATCTAGGCGCTTCCCAAAAAAAGCCACTTGGAGACTCCAAATGACCCTTTGTGATCATAGACACATAAAATGCTGCTATTCTTGAATGCTTTACTCTACAGTCATAATTTTGGGCTCTAATGAAAGGTTACATTTAGGGCTATCATATTCCTTAGCCAGATTCACTGTAAATATTGATGACACATAGTAACTGAAGCATAAACACATTATAGTGTTTATTTTTCAATTCTTGGAAACCAAACTTTCTACAAATAAAGAGACAAAACAAGTGCTATGGTACTATAACACTTTAATATTAGAACTCAAACTACACACACACACACATATATATATATATATATATATACACACACACACACAAAAAGTGTGACGACCTGCAGTGCTGTGTCCAGTGATATGCACAGGCTTGGAAAAAAAAAAGAAGCCAGTTCTCCTCTGCATCTCACCCTCCCCGTCCACTTGTTGTTTAGCTGGCAGAACCTCTCTGGAAAGATAAATGATGGGGCTCCTCTCCTGATAAGGTGCTGTCATTCTGTTCCAGACAGTATGTTGTTTTTTTTCTGACTGGCTCCCAGAATTCACTCACTAATTTTCAGATGATGGTCTGTGATGTATAAAAAAGGGAAAGAAGTTAATTTACAAAACATTTACATTATATGCGTGTGAATACAAAAATACACAGAAACACATGCACACAAAGAACCAGGATTATGCAGTTCATGAGCGCACACGCACATCATGAGCAATCACTAAACAAACACGAGCGCACACAACATAAATTAGCAGATAACGTTACATGTAAACACACAAGACATGTATGTTTTGTGTGTTTAGCTATTTCAACTCACAAAAAGGCCACATAAACATAACGTTACGAGCGCACGTAGCAGGTAATGGCTAGATAGCAGGTCAGGCTACACCCAAAACACAAACACACACACACGGCAAAAGCCGACACCTCAACTGAGGCATGTGTTTGTTTTAGTACACCTAAAACAAACACATGCCTCAGTATATACAGTCAAATATGTTGGGTAATATAATAAAACTTACTTTTCGTGACGTGAGTGCCGTCTCCATCCAAAATTGTCCTCTGCTAACCACACAATGGATGAAACATCGATTGCTCTCTTGCTCACAAATGTCCTCCCACTCACCACGGTCACGGAGAACACACTGTTCAATCACTTCTTCGAGTAATAAGTGTGTCTTTCTAATTATCTTTGTCATTTCACATCTGTTACCTCCTTTCACTCACCAACGCATTCAATGTTGTGTTTACGCACACGCGCGCAGAGAATCACTCTCGCTTTGCGCACGGATTCTAATGTAATCGGATGATTCCACCCACTAAAGCTGCATTTCAGTCTTTTCAGAAATTCATTGGCTATCAGAAAATAGCGTCATTTCATTCTCTATTGCAACTGGATAGATAAACTGTCACTCAAAGAGAGGTAGGTACAATTCTTCATCGAGCGCTCTCCTTGGCTGTTGGATCTCAGAAGACACCTCTAACACTCGCCGATTGGCTAAAATGACCTGTCAATCAATAGTTCAGGGGTCAGCGGCCATTTTGACATTCTTTTTTCTCCAATGTTTACGTTTCAACTGAAGTTAGTGCGTCGAAGTTGTGATAGCGCTGTCGGCTAACGCGAAATGCTACTATTTACATTCCATGGATGTTTATTCATATATACAATTGTTTTGGACTAAAAACTTCTTCAAATTGGATTGTATGGACGCTTTACAGTGAAACCAAACCATTTTTGTTGGAATGTGGACTAACAGATGGCTAATTGGTGAGTTTCTTCCAGTTTGTGTTGGTTTGTTTTGGCTGTTGGTGGTCTGACAAAGAGACAGATTGTGCCCGCTGTGTTGATTGTATCTTAAAATGGTTTACGTCGTTCGAATCACGAGTTTCTCAGCTTTCCAAAGATATGTATTATGTTTACTTTTGTGTTTGTTGAGTTTTGTCTTTCACAAAGTTAAACCTATAAACCACCCTGTGGGTCGAATACGGCACGTCGGACCACGATCAGGTTAAAAGTATCAACAGAGAAAGTCTATCAACAAGGACGTATTTGCGCTCAGCCAAAATGTCTTTCACCTGCTCAATTTCGTATCTCAGTCGCTCTCGCGCTGGTATCGTTGTCAGTTGACAAGAACATCACAGTTAGGTCACCAGGGCTGGGCGATATATCGATATATTTCAAATTTGCGCTATGATCCTTGCTCCAAGCAAGCTGCTGACTGCTTTTGTAGAAATATGGAGCAGCTATATCGTGCATTCTGCCAGTTGCAGTCCTGACACCTCCGTCTCAACAGCATTAGTGTACAACGTGACAAATACTCGCAAATTAACGCAGAGGAACGGCTACATCAGTTCAGCGAGTTCACAAAAGTTAATTTGCATGTGCTTTAAAGCCTTGCCGGTTAAACATGTCATTCACTGCTGATACGCTGTTCTGATCGCGAACACCCGACGTGCACATGCACTAAAAGCTTGTCTAACAGCGCCTGGTTGCTGCACTAAGTTATCTTTCGAGTATTATTTCGCTAATACTCTCAAATACACACAAGGTTTACATAAGAACATTTGGTTATGTCTAAACTCAAAGCAAACCGAGAAAATTGAGAGAAATCTGCTTGTCAAATGCTCCGTGTATATTAGACATGTCGCACACAGGTCTTAAAGTGACAGTAGCGCTAATAATAAAAATGCAGCCGCTTGTTCTTAAAGGGATAGTTGACCCCAAAATAAAAATTCTGTCATTATTTATTCACTCTAATGTTGTTTCAAACCTGTATTAATTTATTTCTTGTGCTGAACAAAAAAGATGATATTTTGAAGAATGTGGGTAACCAGACAGTTGCTGGTCCCCATTGACTTCCATAGGGAAAAATTTACTATGGAAATCACTGGGGTACATCAACTGTTTGGTTACCCACATTCTTCCAAATACCTTAAACAAAAGAAAGAAACTTATTCAGGTTTAAAACAACTTGAGAGAGTAAATGATGACAATTAAATTTTTTGGGAGAACTATCTATTTAATGTTAATTAAACAACAAAACAGAGGATTTATACAGTGAAGACTATGAAGACTTTGACTTTGATTGAACATTTGCTCTCACTTTGCGGAAAAGATATTGGGATATATATCGATCGGGGGGTGTGTGTGTGTGGGGGGGGGGGGCTCGGTATATTTTCCTGCTTTTTTGTCCTTAGCCAATCACATGCCTGATTAATATGTTTATAACTAAAAAAGCACAAATGTCAAGGCATTTAAACACATCTCAAGGAACACAAAAACACCTTAGACCCCAGAGGGTAAAGGGTAAAAATGTAATTGATGTTTAAGAAATAAAATATGGATATTTTCCAGATAAACAAATGATAAAAATTGGGTTGCTGAATATTAGATTACTTTTCTTCGAAAGCACTTATTGTAAATTATATGATTATTTCATAACCTAGATGTCCTGTGTTTGACAGATACCTGGCAGATGATTTGACAGATAATTACAACCAGACAATTTCGGCAGAGGTGAGACCAAGTCTCGACTGTTCTGCCAGACAGACAAGTCCAAGTCAAGTTGCAAGTCCTCGAGTTTAAGCTTCAAGTCTTAAACAAGTCATTAGTGCTTTTTGTACAAATTACTGTCTCAGTGTTAATTACTATAGTAAATGAAATGTATACTAATTTATATCAGGGAGGCTTTTAAAATATGATATAATAATATATAATATTATCATATTTATTCAAACTTAGTGGATGTTGATTGGTTGGTTGTCTGATTGGTTGAATGTGAAGAGTTGCAATGCAGATTTAAAAATGAAAAAAATAAAAGTAACTGTTCATTGGGAAAATTAATCGTGATTTGCTACACATTAAGTTTAAAATATTGAGTCCCTGGTTAAATTATTTTGTTAACGCAACAGTAATTGTACTAGAACATTCCTATTTCCATGGCGACGTATCAAACGTCACGTGACACTTTAGGTCTACGTGCGTGTCATTTACAAAACGTAACGTAAATCCATCCATTTCTGCCGGAACTGTTGTGAGATGCACACAGAGTGACTTTCTATTGCATGTGAAAAAATGGATGCTAAAGTTTGAGCTGACTCACAAATGTACTCTTATGTATCTCTTACAAATGAGATCATGTTTAATAAAAATAAAGGTCCAAAAAGATGCTCAAGAGAGTTTATGAAGGAAGTAAGACAAACAATACTTTACCAGTGGTTGTGATTGGTGGAGTAATGGATTCTATGGATGGGATCGTCTCTGTTGTTGATGAGATGGACTGGTTTGAGGCATCTGGTATTAGGAACATTTTATATTAACAACAATCATTTCATTTAAATTAAAAAAAATACAGAAAAGTAAATGGCTGATTCTGAAGTGCTCACCAACACAGTAAGCTCCACAAACCGTTGGCTTGACAAACTCATAAACGTAGTAATTTCCTGGACAGGCTTTGACTCTTATAGGATGGGATTTGTAAGTACAGCAGTCACCCCATGAGGAGACACAGACCTGACGGGTGACCACTCCATCCTCCAGCTGTGGGTGCGAGCCGTTGAGCGACAGTGCTTTAAAAGTGCCACATGTGTACTGATTTACACATGATTCTGGCATCTGAGTATTTTCACCATTGTTGAACATCCTGTACCAGCCATTCCACTCCACATTATAATCACACATGCCATAGTAGTTATAGTTATTATAGTAATAGTTGTCTGTGGATCTCCAAGGCTCATCCAGACTGGTATAGTTGTAGCAGGGGTCGACACTTGGGGTGGAGAAAGGCACTATTTGGGGAAAAAATAAAAAGAAAGCATTATGTATTGCCAATTAAATATATTAATAATATGAATATAATTCAACACAATTCATGACAAGCATGTCATATATAAAGAATAATGAATATACCTGCACAATATACAGGAACTGGGATTGAAAGAGTTGGTCTGATAAATTTGTAGACATAATAATTTCCAGGACAAGCTTTGACTTGGATTGGGTCGGATCTGTAGCGACTGCACTGATCATCACGGGAGCCGTAAACTTCACGAGTAACAACTCCATCTTCTAGCCGAGGATGAGAGTCACCAAGATACAGAGAACTATAACCTCCACATGACATATATTTAAAACACCACTCAGGCATCTGAGCACTTGATCCATTAATGAAGAGCCGATACCAGCCGTCCCATTCTACACGAGTGTCATCATGATCAATTATGTATTCATAAATAGACCAGTAATTGAGTATGTTTCTCCAGTAGTTGTCGAGTGTGTTGTAGTTATTACACGGGTCATAATCTGTTAGAGCGAGAGATGATGAGACCAAAACAAGTTATATCTTGAGGAACTTCACAAGCGCAAATCTGAACCAGTCAAACACTGTAATAATGAGATTCATAAACCATTCATACACAATTCAACTGTGTAATAGTGAAAATTTTTATGCACAAAATGTTTTTTATAAAAAATTAATTTAAACTGTAATGCAAATCTTTAATTGAAAAGAAAAATATTTTTTAATAACACTCAACTATTCATATTATTTACAACTTACTCAAGTTGATGGTGGATCCAGTGAATATATCTGGACTCACAGTGGAAACCGCCTGTGAAATAGTGCTGACATCTAAAAAGAGGGAAATTCATGTCATGAGAGAAATAATTTTAAAAGGTTTAAAATACTGAACTAAATGAGAAAATCACAGTACCTGTGCAGTATCCTGAACACTCAAATTGTGGATTCACAAGTTCATAGACATAGTAATTGCCTGGACACGCTTTCACTCTGATGGGGTTTGTCTTGTAATCACAGCAGCTTCCCCAAGAAGTCCCTCCACAGATCACCCTGATCACCACTCCATCCTCTATCTGAGGGTGAGGATCACTGAGCCACAGATTATAGTTTGTATTACAGCTGTATGAACTAACGCAGGTCTCTGACATCCGGATGTCCATTCCATAGTAGGAAAGCCGGTACCAGCCATTCCAGGAGAAAAGTTCATCACAAATGTCACCTCCACTTTCATTGTTGGCTCTCCAGGGACGATCCAGAGACTCATAGTTGTAGCAGGGATCACTGCTGATGCTTTGGAAAGCAACTGTCATGGAGTTTGCAAAAGTACTGTTAAAATGTATTACGTCCTGAGCATAAGAGTCTTATTCCATATGACCAGTTATGATGGTTAATTACATTTTGAGCAATTATATTGTAACCAGTGGTGTACTGTCTGTCTGGTTAAAGTGAGGCAAGTCTGTCTGACAGAACCCTGTAGAACGGGACAGAGCAACACCTGAGGAGGGGCTACATATGACAAGAGGACTGTGGAGTAATATCATAATGTTTTCATATACATTTTTAGTTTACATATTAACTATTGAACAACTCGCCTAAAGTGTGATTTGAGGAATTGTGTAACAAAGAGATCTAGATGCTATTGATCTGTAACATAAACCAACTATACAGAATGGATAATGAACTGCACACCACTGATTCTAACTAGTTAAAATATACTTATTTCATAAAAAACTAAAGATGCATGTTAAATTATCTAATAGTTCGAGCATTTACACTTTATACTATACTGACATAAAACATCCAAAAGATAAGACTGAATATTGTACCTGCACAGTACATAGGCTTGGGGGATGATATGTTGGGTTTGACAAATTCATAGACGTAATAATCTCCTGGACAGGCTTTGACTCGGATGGATGAGGAATTGTAGGCGCCACACTGATTGGATAACCTCCAATACCACCAATACCATGAATTAGTCCCCAAGACTTCACGCGTCACCACTCCATCCTCAAGTGTTGGATGAGAACCGTTGAGATGCAGTGCAGTTTCTCCACCACATCCCACATAACTCACACACCACTCAGACATCTGGGCACTTTCTCCATTCAGATACAGCCGATACCAGCCGCTCCATTCAACAACAGTGTCGTCATGTCCAGAGTACTGATTTGAGCTTTGCCGTATGTCTCTCCAGGATTCATCAAGAGTGTTATAATCATAGCATGGATCAGTTGTTGGTTCTGAGAGAAAAAGAAAAAAAGACTCATTCATTGAGGTGACTAACACAAGAGTTCAGGTAAACATCTAACATCCGTGTCTGTATGAAAGAGGAGAAATTGGGATGGTGAATAGTGGCCTTTCTAAAAAGCATTGATTTTTACAAAGCTCAACAGGTACTGTCTCCAGCTCTGGAACGGGCACTGGCTCTGCCTCAGGCTCTGGTAAAGCAGACACAGGCATGTCCACAATCCGAGCCAGACGCTCTAGATAGTCCAGGTCCATGAAGGCAGACGGAGTGTGAAGAGTCTCTGACTGGGCAGACGGAGCGTGAACAGTGTCTGACTGAGAAGATGGAGCGTGAACAGTCTCTGACTGGGCAGACGGAGCGTGAACAGTCTTCGACTGGGCAGACGGAGCGTGAAGAGTCTCTGACTGGGCAGACGGAGCGTGAAGAGTCTCTGACTGGGCAGACGGAGCGTGAAGAGTCTCTGACTGGGCAGACGGAGCGTGAAGAGTCTCTGACTGGGCAGACGGAGCGTGAAGAGTCTCTGACTGGGCAGACGGAGCGTGAACAGTCTCTGACTGGGCAGACGGAGCGTGAACAGTCTCTGACTGGGCAGACGGAGCGTGAAGAGTCTCTGACTGGGCAGACGGAATGTGAACAGTCTTCGACTGGGCAGACGGAGCGTGAAGAGTCTCTGACTGGGCAGACTGAACGTGAACAGTGTCTGACTGGGCAGACGGAATGTGAACAGTGTCTGACTGGGCAGACGGAGCATGAAAAGTGTCTGACTGGGCAGACGGAATGTGAACAGTCTTCGACTGGGGAGACGGGAGCGTGAAGAGTCTCTGACTGGGCAGACGGAGCGTGAACAGTCTTCGACTGGGGAGACGGGAGCGTGAAGAGTCTCTGACTGGGCAGACGGAGCGTGAACAGTCTTCGACTGGGGAGACGGGAGCGTGAAGAGTCTCTGACTGGGCAGACGGAGCGTGAACAGTCTTCGACTGGGGAGACGGGAGCGTGAAGAGTCTCTGACTGGGCAGACAGAACGTGAACAGTCTTTGAATGGGCAGACGGAGCGTGAACAGTCTCTGACTGGGCAGACGGAGCGTGAACAGTCTTCGACTGGGCAAACGGAGCGTGAAGAGTCTCTGACTGGGCAGACGGAATGTGAACATGAACAGTCTCTGACTGGGGAGACGGGAGCGTGAAGAGTCTCTGACTGGGCAGACGGAGCGTGAACAGTCTTCGACTGGGGAGACGGGAGCGTGAAGAGTCTCTGACTGGGCAGACAGAACGTGAACAGTCTTTGAATGGGCAGACGGAACGTGAACAGTCTCTGACCGGGCAGACGGAACGTGAACAGTCACGGAGCGTGAAGAGTCTCTGACTGGGCTGACGGAACGGTAAGAGTCACGGAGCGCTAAGAGTCTCTGACTGGGCAGACGGAGAGTGAACAGTCTCTGACTGGGCAGACGGAGAGTGAACAGTCTCTGACTGGGCAGACGGAATGTGAACAGTCTCTGACTGGGCAGATGTGACGTGAACAGTCCTTGACTGGGCAGATGTGAGGAGTCTCTGGATCAGAATCCAGAAGAATGGCGGGCTGCTGGGACACGGCCTCCGGGCACTTGGGGAGGGTGGAGGTCTTCCCCCTCCTCCGGTGTCTCTGATGGCGATGTGCTGATTCTGTGCTGGATGAGATCAGCGGTGGATGGAGTTCTGGACTGGACATAGCCAGCCCAGGGTCGAGGAGTGACCGACGCGGAGAGTCGTTCCGGAGCTCACCTCTGGCACCTCCTCTCCTGGGTCCCCGAAAACCTGGCCAGGGGCTCTCCTCTAAAAAACTCTCCGTCATCGATCGAAAGTAGTTTAGGAGATCTGCGTGTCATGGCCTCCTCCCTTTGACGAGCCGTAGAAGCAGGAGCCTGAAAAATATTCTTGCTGCTGGATCCGTTAGAGGACGGAGTCATTCTGTCATGACAGAGAGTGGAGAATTGGGTGGATCTAAATGCAGCAATAGTGTAGTCAGGGCAATCCAAGTCATCGTCATCTATGCAAGATTCATAATCCAAATAATCAGAATCGTCGTCATCCATGCCAGTGTCGAAATCTATTTTAATCAGTCTGAATGATAATATTACAAAACAAGCAAAAAACAAAACGACAACAGACCAGAAACAAACCTCAGAGTTATAGCGACCAACAATACAATGACTCCGTGGCAAGGACAGAAACAGACAGGGTATTTATACACAGAACTAAACAGTGTAATTAGAAACAACTGTGTGCAATGATGAGTGATAAGAAAAGACAAAGGATCGTGGGAAATGCGGTTCCAGAGTGAATGGTGACAGTATGGGGAAAGAGACCTCTAGTGGACACTAAGGGAAACACAAACCAGACACTGTGACACTGGAAGATGCTGGCTGATCTTGATCAACAGCTTATTTTTCCACCTGAGATTGCCACCACTAACCTACGACTAGATATTTTTTGTGGTCTGGATCAGCACGCATTGTTCAACTGATAGAGCTAACAGTGATATGGGAGGATGCGGTAGATGAGGCATATGAGAGGAAGAAACTGCGGTATGCTCATCTCGTCACTGCAGCAGAACAGCGAGGATGGAGAGTCCAGGTTTATCCAGTGGAAGTGGGTTGTCGAGGTTTGGTGGCACAGTCTACAACCCGGTTCCTCAGAGACGTGGTTAAGTCTCAGAAACAGGAGGGATGTAGAGGTCAGTAAGCTGGGCTGAGTTGAGTGGGGGACGGAGGGGGGTGACTCAGGGACGCCAGAGTCACTGTCGAGGCCTCTTGAGGTGTCGTGGGCTAGTCGACGAAACACTGAGGACGGAAGGTGCCCACTTGAAGACCCTAGATATGTCCCCTACTCAGCTCAATCCAGACGGTTGTCGTGCTAGTCCACTAGGGAGACCATACTGTAGTTGCAGCCGTCACGTGTGCTGACGTGTAAACTGCAGCCGTTAAAGCCGGACAGAAGGGGACTCACACCACCATATGGAAAGAAGCGTAAATGGATGGAGAAGCATAGTTTACTGTAAAGCAACGGCTTATCTCGGCGAAAGCCGAGTACAAATCAGCATAAAGTTTAATATCTACTCTTGTGTAATGGAAATCATTACCAGTTGTTATGTCCATGGTTGTAGTTTCCGTGGTTTGGATTGTGGTTGTCTCTGCTATAGTATTTATAACTGAAAAAAAAGAATAGACTATTATATAAAAAAACAACTCTTACATATAGAGAGGACACATGCAAGTATGTTTCCCTGCACAGGTGATATAAAACATATGACACAAAGTCACAATGGTGAGATATAAAGATTGTCAGACATTTATTTATTTAATGCATTTGGATGGAAAATACATGTTGCAAGGGATTTGTTTCGCTATGACAATATATATGTAACTCCTACACCCAGATCCTACTCAACCCGCTCCGAGCGGGCCTCGAACCGGGGTCTCCCGCGTGAGAGTCAGGCGCTCTAACAAGGAGGCTAAAAACTGCAGCCTCTAACGTCTCTCGCTAGAGCGCGTATTGAGATCAGGGGAGTGAGGTTTACTCGCACAGCAACTACTAGCAGGCCTCTGTTAAATATATATATATATATATACATACACTCTAAAATTGCAGGGTTGTATCACATGCAGGGTAGAGTGTATATATAACATTTAGAATGTATACACTGTAAAAAATAATTATTGCCAAATTAACAGTAACTTACTGGCAACAATTATCTAGTACTTGCTGTATTTCATTCAACAGTAAATTACCGTAACACTAACTACAGTACTGTTAAGCATACTGTAAAATTAAATAACATTATTTTACTGTAATTTCCTACCATATTAAAGTACAGTATTACACAGTTCATTTTTAACAATACTGTATAGTATTATACAGTTATGAAATATTATTGTATTTATTTTATATTGCTACTGTGTAACCTATAGAATATGTAGAAAATATTATTTTAATTATTTTATATTAGTAAGAAAAATTATTTTAACTGTTAATGGGAAATAGAAAAAAGAACAATTGAAGCTTTAACTGCACAAGGTTTATTGTGTATTTTCAAACACATTAGTACATTTTATGTACATTTAAATACTTTAATACAATGAAACACATTAATAATAATAATGTAATATAATACAATAGAAATCATGCATGACAATCATGAACAATCATGCATTTCAATTAATGCAAAAAATGATCATGAACAGGTAAAATAGAAAAGATTAGAAAGATAGTTCATCCATTAACTCAACCACCCACTCCCTGCTGGGGGAAAACAGCTTAAACTAGTCTAAGATGGTGTACTGGTTTGAGATGGACTGTCTAACTGGTCAGACTGGTCTGTTGCTGATTTTAAAGGGTTTTTGGCTGCTTTCTATCTAGAGGACAAGATTTGCAGGGCTGGGAGACATGTTTGACGAGTAAACCACCAATCCAGATGAGTAATACAAAATGACAAGTTATTATCCAGTGTCCTTTAAAAAAAAAAACGAAGCACAAAACAACCTCATCATGCACATGTGCCATGAAAAACTTGCATTACGGTATTAATAATAATTTATATGCAGACTTATTGTTCTAACATTTGCAATCGGAAGTTTTCTAGCTTTTATGCAATTGAACCTTAAACTGTACAACAATGTTTATTGTGTATTTTGACAGAACAATTCTTAACAACTTGCAGATATGCAATTATCTGTTCAAAATTCGTAGATGTATAATAATCTGTTTAAAATGTTCTCAGTGGGTCAGTATTGGACCACGGTAGTAGTGGTAGTTGGATAAATACAATAATTAAATTAGATTAGATTTTCAATTCATCGATCGTCAAGATTGGATAGGGGTCTTCTTTTACATGCACAGCTCACACCTGTGGAAAAGGAGAACAGACAAGCCTACAGTAAAAACTTTTGTTGTTGTTTTTTTTTTGTTTTTTTTTGGCTAAACAGCAAAAACAGACAAAATTATGTCTAAAGTGTAATTCACTTATTCAATACTTTCACAATTCAATATTAACAACTTGTTTGATGGACTAACTTGTTTAAAATCAATTTATTTACGATCACGTGAAAACGTCGATCTTGCTTGTGTGACTATACATCTTATGACTTAAAAAAAAGCTTGACAAGGCGCGTCTTTCCCTTCAAATGAGTACATAACAGTTTATACATAGTAAAAAAAAAAACAATTACGTTATTATAGCAGACAATACTGTAAATGTCACACGTAGCTTTGTATTTGGACAAAAATGCACCTTTTGGGCGCTTTCCATCAAATATAGACTTTAAGGTAACATAAAAGTTAACTTAAATGGCAGACCGCCAGGTCAGGATTTACATGAAAATAAACGTGAAAAAAAAAAATCAATAAGAGGAATCGAAACTTTAATTTTATAACAATAATCCGAATTCTAACCTTGGATATCCGATTTCAGGATACTACACTTATCGATTTTCAATTCCCAACCCATAAAGTTATAAAATAATGAACGTGCAGGCGATTCCACCGATTTAACGTGGTAAATAACAAAATTATTAGACCATTTTGACCTTAAGAGGCTACATATGAAATATATGTTAATAAAATCATATTTAATCAAGTAGGCCTAATTAGGGCATCAACATTAAAGAAATCAGCGTCTGACTTATACAGCCGCAGCCAGTTCTTTCTAACGTTAATCTGTTAACGTAAATAACTTATATGGTTTGCATAAAAATATAAAATTACTAACCAGATAGGCCCTATGCATGGTGAAAACGTTGCCGACAGCGACGCGATGCACGGCCTGCGCGCTCTTGAGAAAGCGAACTGAAGAGTTCTTCATAAAATGGCAGCTAGTTGTGGTTATTTGTCGCGGTCATTTCGTACTAGTGTATTTAAATTTACAGTAACATCATGTAACAAAATATAGTAGGGCTGGGTATTGACACAAATTTCACAAATTTCAAGATTATTGGGATTTTTTGGATGCACTCAGCTGCGATATATGTTCCATTCAATCAAATGAATCAGGATGACTAATCTATTCTTGAGATTTAAGAATCGATATCGGTTCGTAAAAATGAGAATCGATTAATATCGAGAAATCGATATTTATTACCCAGCCCAACAAAATAAGCTACATTGAAGAGTATCATATTGTACACATCTTATAGTAAAATGTCTAGAATAGATTAAATTGAATATAGAAATCGTGGTCAGCTATTCTAAATAACTTTAAAGTTATTAGCTAGAATCCGCATACACATAATAAGAATTATTACTTACCAGATGAAGAAGTTCCAGGTCGGCAGAAAAGACAGCGGCACCACTGACACGACAAACTCTTTCAAAATTCACATGTGCTCTCATGCACACGGTACACCCCAGAATTAAGACTGTTCATGGTCACCCAGTGCTAATTAATTTTTTATTTTTTTTTAGGTATGAATAACATTAGTTGGCCGTTTTTTGAGGTCAATTGGCACTGCTGTATTAAGATAATTTCCCAGAATGCATTGAAATTACAGTAACAGTAACATACTGTCAACTGTGTGTATTGTACGTAACAAAATAACAAAATGATTTGTGAAAAACAAAATAATACTGTGAAAACAACTAAATCTACTGTAACTTACTGTACATCAATTACACAGTAAGAAACTGTTGAGAAAAGCAGTATAAACCTGTGAAAACAACAGAAATAATTTACAGTATATATATAGCCTATATATACACACATTTATGTTTAAAAAAATAATTTTGTAATAATCTCATGTGTAATAAAATGTTTAAATAAAATGTTTTCTTGTTTCTTGAGTTTCCTGTGAAATTAAATGTGTAAGAAAGTGCTAAACCATGAAAAGGTTTTTAATAAATAGGAAAACTCTTATCATATGAATTATTTCTGCTACATTTATTTCAACAGTTTGAATTAAAAACAAAGGATGAATTGAAGATTGGATGAAGTGAAAGAATGATTGTACCTGTTGTTTGTCCATTGGTTATTCCACCTGTTAAATACACAATATACGCATAAATGCTTATAATTGTGGGGGAAAAAATCAGTAATTGTATATGATAGATTATAAAACACTCACCATTAATCATCAGCAGCGACACACACAGTGAGATCAGAAACCTCATTGTGTCGAACAGTACCTGCACGCACACACACGAAATATGTTTCTTATATTTTTTTATTTCTTTGCTGTGCACATTTTAAAAATGAAGAAGACTGGGATAAAACAGAAGTAACTTTACCTGAGGTCAGATCTCAGACTGATGATGGTCTATGAGATTCTCTCTTCAGTAGTTTATCACAGTGATGATGAACTGCAGATCTCACAATCTCATCAGTGTCTTATATACCTGGAGGTGGATCTTGAATGGAACTATAGGTGTAATTTATCAACATTATCTTAAACCAGTTATTCATGTGGTATTTAAATTACATTCAGAGAGACATTCTTTCACTCTGAACTCAAACATATGCAAATCTAGATGGAATGACGATGGGCCAGTTTGAGTTGTTCAGCACTTTTTCTAAAAGCAAATAAAAATATAGCTGCGAGCAGCGATGGCGGGCCCAAGCCGGTGGCACCGCAACCCCGGCTCCTTTAGTTACCTAAAGGCACCGGGGTGGCGGTGCCGAAGGCTTTGGCCCTTTCATGATTAAATGTTAAAACGGCTTGCCATAGTCTGTCATTTTGACTAGTCACAATTATGTTACAGATATCTTAAATGATAATACAAACTATCCAAAATGTAATTACGACTAGACAGAAAGACATTGTTGATATCTACAATGTTAATTTCCGGATAGGCAAACTTAGCTTTTAAATGTTAAAGGGGCTTGCCATACACGGACGTAGGCTCAGAGAGAGTCTCACCATATTCAAACCAAAATATCTGACTTCCTCTTGGTCTGAGCTAATGACTATGAATTAGAAAGTTGTCTGGCTTGAGGAGTACAATGTATATAACAATTTTTGTAACTGTAGATAAAAATAACAACCCCACTTTTGTCAAAAGGTGGCGCTATTTAGTCCCTGCACCATGCCCGTTTCTGAAACTTTGCACATGTCTACTGGCTAATAAATGTGATGTGTCTGTTGAGTTTCATGCAATTTCAAGCATGCTAAGAGTCTCAAAAGCATCCTAAAATAATTTCAAAGTTTGAAGCTTTGCCACGGCAACAGTTTAAAAGATATCAAGAATCCATTCACAGGTCTACATCTACCGTATGTTTACATTATACAGATGAAGTTTTTCATCTGTTTTTCATCATTATACAGATGAAGTTTTTCATCTGTTTACATTATACAGATGAAGTTTTTCATTCATATTATTACATGCAAGCGTGTTTGATTTATGGACCAAGTTTTCGGACCCCGTTCCAGGGGGCGCTGTCTAGCCCCCCTGCCACGCCTAGGTACCATCTTCAGCCCAGGCCTGATGGCTGTGGGATATGACCTGTGTGCAAAGTTTCAAGAGTTTTGAAACCCGTTAAGGGCCTCAAAAGCCATTAAGAGTCTCAAAATCATCAAAAAAAAAAGAATTTTAAAGTTTGATGCGTTGCCACGGCAACAGTATCAAAGATATCAAGAATCCATTCACAGGTCTTCATCTGCCATGTATTTACATTATACAGATAAGGTTTGAAGCAAATCGGGTAAAAATAAGAGGTTGATTTCAAAACATTTTTAAAGTGACACACTTCCTGCTGCCAGTTGGCGGCTCTATAACTTTGACTCGAAATAGTCACATCCATGTGATCGTCCTCTTACAACGAACACACTGATGAAGTTTCATCAAGATATGTTAATGTATGCTGAAGTTATAACACACTTCCTGTTTCACGTTTCTCGCCATAATTTCGTTTCCTCGCCACGGCCAAACCGTTTGAGATATCAAAAATCCCCTCACAAACTTTCATCCTCAATGTCTTGACTTCTTGCACACCGAGTTTGGTTGTGATTGGTAAACACATGCGTTGTAATTTGATGTATTTCTCCTAGGACAACTATTCAAACAACCCATAATTCTCAACTTCCATTTTAATTGTCGTAAAACTTAGAGCACGAAAGTTGTTTGGCCTGATGTGATCTATAATTGTACCGAGTTTCATATTAATTCACGCAAGTGTGTTTGATTTATGGACAAATGTTCGAATCCCAGTCCAGGGGGCGCTGTCGAGCCGCCCTGCCACGCCCGATGACCAGCTTCAGCCCGGCCCTGATGGCCATGGGTTCTGACCCGTGTGCAAAGTTTCAAGAGTTTTAGAGGATGTTAAGGCCCCCGAAAATGCCAGAGAAGTCGCACACAGCAAATAAAGGGTTAAAATTAACCTGACAGGCGCCCCTCCTCTCACTCACACAGAGAGACACTGAGAGACTGGCAAAATTCTAAGATTTTCTCTACATTCAAATAAAGATATCTGACTTTCTGTGGGTCCTAGCTAATGAGTATCAATTAGAAAGTTGTCCGGCTCGAGGAGTACAATATACATACCGATTTTTGTAACTGTAGATAAAACTAACAACCCCACTTTTGTCAAAAGGTGGCGCTACTGAGCCCTCACCACGCCCGTTTCTGAAACTTTGCACGTGTCCACTGGCTAATAAATGTGATGTGTCTGTTGAGTTTCATGCAATTTCAAGCATTCTAAGGGTCTCAAAAGCATCCTAAAAGAATGGTAAAGTTTGATGCATCGCCACGGCAACAGTTTCAAAGATATCAAGAATCCATTCACAGGTCTACATCTGCCGTATGTTTACATTATACAGATGAAGTTTGAAGCAAATCGGGTAAAAATAAAAGGGTGATATCAAAGCATTTTGAAAGTGACACACTTCCTGCTGCCAGTTGGTGGCGCTATAATTTTGACTCACAATAGTCACATCCATGTGATCGTCCTCTTACAGCGAACACACTGCTGAAGTTTCATCAAGATCAGTTAATGTATGCTGAAGTTATAACACACTTCCTGTTTCACGTTTCTCACCATAATTTCGTTTCCTCGCCACGGCCAAACCGTTCGAGATATCAAAAATCCCCTCGCAAACTTTCATCCTCAATGCCTTGACTTCATGCTGACCGAGTTTCGTGCCGTGTGTTTGAATTCTCTAGGAGGAGTATTGCACATTCCATTGCGAGCGTTTTACAAACAAACCTCAATAGCCGACTTCCTGTTGGGCTGGGGTAAAAAGTAAGAGTGTGAGGTATAGATGAAACGATGAGATCAACATGTGTACCGAGTTTCATATTATTACATTCAAGCGTGTTTGATTTATGGACCAAGTGTTCGGACCCCGTTCCAGGGGGCGCTGTCTAGCCCCCCTGCCACACCCAGGTACCATCTTCAGCCCGGCTCTGATGGCTGTGGGATCTGACCTGTGTCCAAAGTTTCAAGAGTTTTCAAACCCGTTAAGGGCCCCAAAAGCCGCTAAGAGTCTCAAAATCATCAAAAAAAAGAATTTTAAAGTTTGATGCGTTGCCACGGCAACAGTATCAAAGATATCAAGAATCCATTCACAGGTCTTCATCTGCTATGTATTTACATTATACAGATTAAGTTTGAAGCAAATCGGGTAAAAATAAGAGGGTGATTTCAAAGCATTTTGAAAGTGACACACTTCCTGCTGCCAGTTGGTGGCGCTATAACTTTGACTTACAATATTCACATCCATGTGATCGTCCTCTTACAGCAAACAAACTGCTGAAGTTTCATCAAGATCAGTTAATGTATGCTGAAGTTCTGACACACTTCCTGTTTCACGATTCTCGCCATAATTTCGTTTCCTCGCCACGGCCAAACCGTTCGAGATATCAAAAATCCCCTCGCAAACTTTCATCCTCAATGCCTTGACTTCATGCTGACCGAGTTTCGTGCCGTGTGTTTGAATTCTCTAGGAGGAGTACTTCAAATTCCATTGCGAGTGTTTTATGAACAACCCTAAATAACCGACTTCCTGTTGGGCTGGGGTAAAAAGTAATAGTTTGAGGTATATATGAACGATGAGATCTATATGTGCACAGAGTTTCATATTATTACATGCAAGCGTGTTTGATTTATGGACCAAGTTTTCAGACCCCGTTCCAGGGGGCGCTGTCTAGCCCCCCTGACACGCCCGGGTACCATCTTTAGCCCGGCCCTGATGGCCGCGGATTCTGACCCGTGTGCAAAGTTTCAAGAGTTTTTGAGCATGTTAAGGGCCCCAAAAGTGCCCAAATAGTCGTATAAATAATAATAATAATAATAAATATAGCTGCGAGCAGCGATGGCGGGCCCAAGCCGGTGGCACCGCAACCCCGGTGCCTTTAGTTACCTAAAGGCTCCGAGGTGGCGGTACCACCGCCTTTGGCCCTTCATCGCTGCTCGCAGCTATATTTATATATATATATATATATATATATAGCCGGTGGCACCGCCACCCTGGTGCCTTTAGGGTTATTGTGCACAAACGTAACACTGCTTTGACTGTCGAAAAGAAGTGTGCCGTAGAGCTTGCAACAGTGTGGGCTCTGCAAAAGTGCGCATCGAGGACACATATCAACCAAAATGTATGCGTGAGCAACCTTCTGAAACCTAAAATGAAAAATGAGACACCCTACAGACATTCATGGATTTAACTGACACATTACATGAGTACACAACACTGAAAATTCATATGAAGTGTGAGCAATTTTTTCTATTTTTTCACCACCTGACCTGCACATCATATGTAGAAACACAATGTTTTCAACATTCAGTTGTAACTTTTAACTTGAATGTGCCATTTACATTTTATTTGACCCTTAATGTAACATATTGGTATTAAATCATATTTGTGAAAAACAAGCAGTTAATTAAGAAGTCACTAGATGAAGCACATTTTAGGTTCTCTGATATTTTTTTCCAGTGCTGTTAACTGTACAGTCTTTACCAATAAATACTATGAAAAATAATTTACAAAATCTTTTGCAGGACAGTTCAATTCTTTACAATAAAAGAATATAGTAAGAAAGAAAAGAAAGCTGTTACACAGATGGTTTGGGAAAACCATAAAGTGTTTTTGTACAGTCAATGAATTGTGTACAGGAAGCATTAAACCATCAAAGTTAAATGGTTGTTTGTTGCTTATGAATTTCCAATATTTTCTTTAGCAAGGGGTTTCAAACTTTTATTGGCAATGAGCCCTAAACAACCCTTGTGAGGTTCTTTATTTAGCCTTAAAATATAATAAAATATAGGCCTAATATAACCTAAACAATACCTTTGTTAGATTCTTTATTCAGGCTCATAATATAATACAAAAGAGGCCTAAT